CCCCCAGGCTCTTTTCGTCTATACAGAAGGTCAATTTAGCTTTAGATGGTCTCAAGGTTGTCTTCATGCAGCTTCTTTCATGGCTAATTCTTCGTATGTTTGAAGCGCAGATTCTGTAGCAGCGCTTGCATGTAAGTGACGTGGATCGAATCTCTGTATTTACGCTGCTTTCCTTTCGTCGTTGGCGTTTCTCAGGCTGGTTGTTTCTGAGGCTGGTCTCTAGCATTATAGTTCTTCCCTTTATCCTTTTCCTCCACGTTTCCCTGTCCTCAGCTATTTCTTCCCAGATGCTAACATCTACTCCAAGCTTAGATAAGCTTTTTTTTAACAGGTGTCTTTGTACCTCAATTTTGGTCTTCCTCTTAGTCTCTTTCTCTGGGCAAGTTCTCCATAGAGAAGTTGCTTCGGAATCTGGTTGTCGTCCATTCTCTTGACATGGCCCTGCCATCTTAATCTTTTAAAACACAGGATAATTGTCATGCTCTGGAGGTTTGGTGCCAACACTTTGACTACGGCTATCAAGTCTACGGATCGTTAAACAGTTGTAACCTTGTCAAGGCACGAAAAGCCTAAGATCTTGCGGCAGATCTGAGATTGAAAATGTCGAGGCACTTTCCTTGCCTGCTGTACACGGTCCATGTTTCAGAGCTATAAAGGAATGTGCTGAGGACACATGCTTAGCGGGTTATACAACAAGGATTATCTTTGTGGTTAAAATAATAATCTCTAGAACTGTCTTTGAGTCTTTGAGCGCTTTTGGTGACTTAAGTGAACATAGACGATGTTCCCTTTATAATAGCAGATGTAGGCTGTGCGGACTTCCAAATTAGGGAAAAAGAAGAAGAAAATTCATTTTCAGCATTTAGTGTAACATTTGTGAAACCCAAATGCAAACTGCAGGAGAAAAATGGCGATCAGTTGTGTGGTGCGTTTCATTGCATTTACCCATACCATTTCTTATTTCAAACAGCTGTAGCCCCTCTTTAGTAGCATATTCAAAAAAGTTGAACAAGGAAAAAGTAACAGTAGCCCATATGGACACTTGTCAGAATGGTCGTCGTTTTCAGTATTTGTGATGGACTAATGCCGTTTGCACTAAAGATATTCAAATCGTCAGCAAGCTGTTCAACTGTTTAGGCACGGAAAGTCTTTTTTCAGGAGAGACAGAGTAAAAAAAAATCAACCACACCCCCCAAAACCAAAAACCAAATAAAAAACAAACAAAACAAAGCAAAGCAAACGCAACAAAACCCCCCACACACAAATGACGGTTCTATTAAAATAATCAATTGTCTCCTAATCATGTGTATTCTCTTGCTTGTTTAAAATTTAGAATATGATATACGACAAAATATTTCCCGAGAACATGCACATCTAGCTCAGATTAAGAGACATCGATTACAAAAAGAAATCGGCTTGTCAAATCTGACCAGCTGGACAATGAAATAATTTTTCTTGTTTTAATATTGCATTCTTGTTTTAGTATTTCCTCCAGACTTCCCGTCAAAAGTAGGTGACTATCTATGTGAACAGAATCACCAGCAGTGCAAGAAACATGGACGCCACCTGGACATTCACCAAGCTTATTTTGGCAGCAGCCCTGGTAACGCCTTCAAAAGCATGGCGTCTCAACGTTACCTCAGAAGAAATCGACGTCGGTAAGACAGCTCACGTTTCTCTGAGCTGTTTCAACCCCTATCAGCAGCAGGACATTTCAGAAATTCTCATGATGAGAATCCAGAAAAAACAACCAAACGGATGGCACAGTGTAGGGGAACTTCGCGACGGCGATGTGGACGTCAGACTAACAGCTAGAGACGCCACTGCTACGGGAAGCATTGTCGCCGGGGCTAACAGCTTTATGCGGCTTACCTGGCCATTGGCAACGAACGATACGATCGGCCAGTACCGTTGTGATGTTACTTTTGTGAATTCCCACGGTAGTGTCGGGTGGCAGAAAGGCTTACCGGCTTCCATCACTCGTAAGAGTGACGTCACTGTTCAAATCCTGAGCGACATGGTGGAAGAGAACAAGAAACAGTGCATGCAACAAATACAAGACATCCAGGAATACATGGCAGCAGCCATACAGGAGAATAAGAGACAATGTCAGAAGGAGAAACAAGACGTTTTCCAGAACCAGGCGGCCATCCTGAAGGCGGTTGAAGTGAGTTTCGTTAGCAAGTTGGCTAATATTTGTTCTCTACTCCTGACCAGTACACACATAGCGCTAAGGGCTGTGTACACACGGGTATAGGTGCTTTAGGATTACCCACATTGCTTTTATCATCATCATCATCATCATCATCATCATCATCATCATCATCATCATCATCATCACCATCACCATCATCATCATCCTGATGAAAATGTCACAAATGCTTGAATGTTAAAGCGCCATCATATTAATCAAATCTATTGAAACTGTACATTCTAACTTGCAGTTTAAAGTCGTCTGCGGACGAAAAGAAATGTTCTTTGCCATCTATGAAACTTAACATTAAAAAAAATTATCATTGTTATTATCAGTATTATTACTATTATCATCATAATCGTCATCATCTTCATCATTATCATTTTAATAATAATAATTATTATTATTATGATTATTATGATTATTATGATTATGATTATGATTATTATTATTATTATTATTATTATTATTATTATTATTATTATTATTATTATTATTATTATTATTATTATTATTATTATTATTATTACGTACAGGTGCTGAGCCACACGGTTGAAGTAAACAAGCGAGAATGCCCTCACCAAATGCTGTCCCAAAGACGCCAGATTCTGGAGAACGTGGCATTTACCTTGGACAGGAACAAGAGAGAGGTTCTACAGCACAGCCAAGACCTCCTGGTAAACGCTACAACGATCATGGAGGCCATTGAAGCCAGTTTTGAACGCAAGTTGAGCATTGTCAAGAGCCAGCTACGGGTGAGAATATTTCACAGTTTGATCTGTGGGTGGTAGGCGGGTGCTCTTGTTTGGTTTGCTTCTTTTTTCCTATCAAACATCTATCGTCCTTATCTCTCCTTCTTCTTTTTTTTTGTTTGTTACTGTCTTGTAACACCTCTAATCTTCTGGCGCTCATACGACCTTATGCAGTTGCGAGTGCCGTAAAACCTCTACTAAGACTAAACTAAACATTTTGATCTCCAATACAGACGAGAAAATGTTCACCTAGGAGTTGTGTGATGTTTAACGAACTGAAACTATATTATTGTCTATTGATAAACTGGTTGATGGAGAATGTGATAAACTGTTTGAGAGCATTTGGTACTGATTAACTGATTGATGGAGTATTTGATAAATGGCTGGATGACTGGGTGATATACCCGCTGACTGACTGAGTGGTAAACTGGTTACTGATGGAAGCAACTAGAACATTGACTGCATGATTGGTCCATAATGCTTCACTGGGTCCTATACTATCTAAAAACTTGCTAACATGATGACCTGCCAAATTGCACCTCCGGTATGGGGCCTGAAAATGGGTAACCGTGGATTCTCCCCTGGTGCGACATTTCGTCATTTCCCACAACCATTCATCAAATTCCTCTCTGTGGATTTCTCTTCAGCCCCAGTCGTGCGCTAATGCTAAGGGTTTGGGTCCCCGGCCAGTTGTCCTTCTCTCTAGCGGTCAGCTCGTCGTCTGTGACATGGTGACGGACCAAGGAGGCTGGATCGTAATACAGGTGGGTACATGCTAGTGCAATAGGTTTTAAAATTATTATTTTTTTTTTTACTGTAATGCAGACTGACAAAATACAGGTAAGATCAACATTATTTTACTAATACTGTAATACAGACTGGTCCAATACCGGTGAGATCAACATTATTGTAATACAAACCATGCGATATCAACATTATTTTACTGTAATACAGGATGATACAATACAGGTAAGATCAACATCCTTTTACTGTAATACAGGATGGTTGTTGCTCAACGATATTCCAAACACTAAAAATAAGTGTGTTTTACGACACAAAATATGTACATCCACAATGACACATGTGGTGATCATTTTTTCAACGTTTCTGCTTCTCAATAAACAAGAAATAGATTATGTAAAAGAACAAACTCCCTGGACACAAAAGCATTGAAATTGTCTTTGAACTCACAGTTCCGTCTTGAAACATAAATGGTGACTTCAGATAAACTATTTTTCCTTTGACATTGTTAAAATCTCAACATTATTACTTAGATAATGTGATTTGGTACGCTCAATGATACTAGGCCTTAGAGACTGGCATAGTGTTCTTTAATGTCTACAGAGACGTGCATCGGCCGACGTGGACTTTCATCGCGGCTGGGCGGACTATAGGAACGGTTTCGGAGACCTCTCTGGCAATAACAATTTCTGGCTCGGGCTGGAGAAAATTTACCTGCTGACAAGGCAGGCAAGTTGTGTGCAATTTACTGCAGAGTTCTGTCCAAATACTTGACACCACGAGCACCGTTGTTGTTGATGTCGTTGTACGAGCTGCTGTTGCTCCTCGTGATGTTGGTTTAATTCGGAAATACTGTTTTACTTTGTCTCTCATTACTGTGATAAATGTGTTAAATTGATTGATGCAGAATGTGATAAATTGATTAGTAGAGTAAGCGATAAACTGGTTAATGGGGTATGTGATAAACTGGTTAATGCAGAATGTGCTTAATTAATTAATGGAGTATGTTATAAACTTGTTGATGCAGAATGGGATTAATTGGTTGGTTCTATCGGATTTACTTACTAACTTTACTTTGTCCTTCTTCTTGTACCATCTAGTGCGTCAGGGGGAGAATTCGCTTTCGGTCTCTGGCAAGCTGGATGGCCTGCCTGGGTGGGATGTTGTGGGTCCTCAGTGTAACCTTCACACCTTCGATCTAGATCTTCCTCGGTCTTCCTCTTGTCTTGTACCTTGGTATAATCGAAAATACTGAACTTCACGGTGGAAGTAAACAAGCGAGTTCTCATGATCTATCGGACACGGACGTTAAATCGGAGCTCGCACCTCTTAAATAACCCTGAAGTTTTTATCAGGGGTGTTAAACCCACATTTTATAGTTGTAGACTGGGTAGTGGTAGTTGTAGTTATGATAGTAGCAATAGTGGCGGAGATGCTACTGGTAGTTGTATTAATGGTAGTGGTACAGGTGGAAGTGGTAGTTGTAGTAATGATAGTAGTTGTAGCGGAGGTGCTACTGGTAGTTGTAGTAATGGTAGTGGTGGAGGTGGTAGTGGTAGTTGTAGTAATAATGATAATAAATAATAATAAATGACATTTATATAGCGCTCAGCCCCGAATAAAGTACTCAGGCTCTGAGCGCTTTACAATACAGTACAACATACAACAGTAACATGAAACGTTGTGTTCTGACTAAAGAAAATTATTCCAAATATTCATCTTATTAATTTAAAAACAGAAACGACTTCAGCTGACATTTGAATGAATCAAAAGATTTGATTTCTCTCAACGTACTTGGTAAAGCATTCCAGATCTTGGGGCCTTGGTAATGGTAATGGTGGTTGTGGTAGTAGTAGTAAAGGCAGTGATGGAGATGTTTGTGGTAGTTGCAGTAATGGTAGTAGTGGTAGTTGTAGTTGTAGTAATTATATTGGTAAACAACGGATGTTGTAGGTTGTTGCGGTGGTAGCAGGCACAGTTGAAAAAGCAGGAAGATTATTTTTATCGAGTATCTCGGTCTTTCTGCTGGGATCTAGTATCCATTTCAGCTGGGGTTGGACTTGACAGGCAGGGTCGGATTCTCGTCTCCTAAATAATTAAACTATGTTGATGAGAGTGTAAAACACCTGCACCTACTGTACACCTTTTCGGTCTTTGACACGAGGTTTCTTCCTGATGTTTTTCAATATACTGCCCAGTTAGACGCAGTTTAGGAAAGTTCTAAAGCCGAGGAAATGGTCCTATCTTAGGACACCCAGTTGAGAGGAAATCTTGGGAGGACCAACATTGGAACCCGATACAGCTTTGAACCAGTAACATATTGTGTTAACGTCAATTTCATTTTCAGCTGACTGGATTTTGTATGCGCTGAAACCACTTGTGTGTACGGCTGGCTTTGATTTTTATCACGTTCTCATCACCAGGGGAAATGCGAACTGAGGTTCGATTTCACATTCGAGGGGAAAAACTACTACGCCAATTACGACAATTTTGAGCTGTCTGGAGAGTCAAGCAAATACAGAATTGAGATATCCGGATTTTCTGGTAATGTAAGTGACAGCATGGCTTATCACAATGGTCAGCCTTTCTCAACAAAGAACCGTGACAACGACTCATGGGGCAAGAATTGTGCCAGTGTGTTCTACGGAGGTTGGTGGTTCAGGAGCTGCCATCACGTGAACTTCAACGGGCTGTGGGCCAGCTCAGCGTCTACGGGCTTGAGGTGGCTCGGTGTAACTAGTGGCTCGGTTTCCTTCAGTGAAATGAAGATTCGACCATTTGCTAAGTGACAGCTGCATGAGACCGGATAGTCCTGTGGAATATGTACTTATATGTTTGGGTGTTTGTGTATTTGTTTTTGTTTGACACAATATGAAAGACACTGAAAGAAAAACGTAAAAAATATCAGAGGTGTTACATTTCAGTCGTTCCATCGTGTCAGGTCGTTTAGAATACTTATTGGAAATTCGCTTAAGTTCTTTATTACGTGAAGCTAAGCTCACTGTCAATAGACTGGGGCCACACCAAAGAGACTACAGAAGTCTCCGCCTAAGATCTCAGAGCTCTGGAGCAAGGAAAATGGGGGATCTTAGGTGTACGGGATCTTAGCCGACGCACCAGGGGAGAATCCACGGATACCCATTTTCAGGCCCCATACCGGAAAAATGGTACGGGCAAAGAGTGGTTAGCCTTGATGATCAATCACAGTGGCATGGGGCGTGCCATTTTCACTTATTATCCAACGGTGAGTCTCAAGATCTACGCTTATCCAATTGTTCCTCCCCTTTACCTGTCTATATTTTAAAGAACTCCATCTCTGTCCGAGTTCCCTGCCTTTGTCGTTACGCAACGTTGTGTTGTGACTACAGCAGTTAAAATCCAGTCCGTCTCGCAAATTTGCGAGTAGAGAACAATGTTGCAAGGGTCAGGGAAGTGCACAGTTCGATGTGATCCCGCCTGGAGCGAACTTGTCAAATTGTAGGCCCTTGCCTTTTCTATGAAGTGGTAAGTTCAGACCTCGACGTGATTCTGTCTGGGGCAAGCATTATATCGTTTCATCCAATTTTACAACGAACATGTGATCACATTCACGAGATTGGCTGATCTGTGAAGCAACAGGCAGTTCAATTATCTTTGTGTCCGCCTGGGTTTTTGTTCCGTAAGGTATGATCTAAAACGTTGTATCTTAGCCGAGTGTAGACCTTCAGAGCGAGATCTTTGGGTTGACTTTTCTGGAATAAAAATTGTTTTCTTAAAACAGCAAGATCTTAAGCCAACAGGGATCTAGGCGGTGGGATCTTAGTCTTAGGAGGCGTCTACTATTATTTAAATAATGAATTGTTCATCGTTAAGGATGGACCATTCAACCCCAAATTCATAGGCAAATTTGCTCAACATATAAACCGAAAAACACAAATCATGTACATGTATGACAACGCACTTGTGAGTCCATTTTCCTGGTTTAAAACATGGTTTTTGTCCCTGAAAAGATTACAAAACTTTTTGAAACTATTTATATTATATTCACGTCGTTTTTTTGGGTGTTTCCCTGTCTTTTCAGTCATTATGCAACCCTTAAAATCTGAGTCATCTCAATGTTTGGTCATGGCAAGCTGCACCCTCTTTACAAACCACCCGACGCCACAGCTATCTATCTATCTATTTATCTATCTATCTATCTATCTATCTATCTATCTATCTATCTATCTATCTATCTATCTAATCTATCTATTTATCTATCTGTCTATCTATCTATCTATCTATCTAATCGCTCTTGCCATCCTTTCATTTTCTCCTTCTCTCTTTCATTGTTGGCCGACATAGATAATAATACTTTGCTTGTGTCTCTGCTTTTACGCTATAGTGCCCCCACCCCCAACCTCCTCGGTCTCCATCCCTCCCAAACCTCACCTCTCTCTCTCTCTCTCTCTCTCTCTCTCTCTCTCTCTCTCTCTCATCTATCCCTCTCCTCCACACTCTGTCACTCTCTCGTCTCATACTCTGTCGCGCTCTCTCTCCCCATACTCTCTCTCTCTCTCTCTCTCTCTCTCTCTCTCTCTCTCACACACTCTCTCTCTGTCTCTCACTCACTCACTCTTCCTCCCCTTTGTGTAATGCCCAGTTCTTGACGCCCCTGTTTGTATTTTTACACTCGTGCAACATCCGAAATGATAACCCCTCCCCCCAACCCATTACCCAAAGCAGCCCTTACATATCAGTTCGATTTTCTGGCATTTCTCGGGATATACCTCGGTTTGGTCTTCTATAATATTCAATACTATGTCTTCATTAGCGTAAACGATTCGATTATATAACATAGGGTAGTGATAAACCTCCATTTTTGCAAATATCTAGGAGATAAAATGAGAAGACAAAAAAAAATTAAAGAAAGGTGACGGTTAACAATATGCAAGTAATAAATTGCGACCCAAGAATTACAAAGTTCTATCTGCTCAGTATCTAGATTTGAGAAATTATTTTGACGTTAGAAATTTTAAGTTTCACAACATGTCCAGGTTTTTCGAACGCAGTTCTTTTAAGATCTTGGTAACGACTTCGAATAATCTTACGATTTTAATAGAGCAGACAGAGCGTTTAGTTTCTGAATTCATGTTCCTTTTTAACACAAAACAGCCAAAATTGTCAGATAGAACATTGTAATTTTAAGGTAGCGAAATCCCCTCCCGATGGGGCTAATAGGTTGCACGTTCGCATTTAACAGCTTGATCATTAATTTGTGCCTACGGCAACTATTGGAACTTTCACCTTGGAATAGTCTATTTAGGGCTGCGAGCGCGATCTCTGCCTCATACACTGAAACCATTTTCATAGCGGCATGGCCTCTGGACCTCTCGCATTTTGGGATTTGGAGCAAGCTAAGATTGTTGGGTGTCAAATGACCACACAAAATAGAAATCTGTCCCTATTGAGCAATCGTTGCCAAACCAAGTCACACGAAAGCTTTCTTGTATAAGGCTCGTAGATATGGAAGCACACGAGATCAGGGATACACGTCGTTCGATATGGCACTCACCAACAGTTTAAACCAACTAGCCCAATATATAATGTTGGGAACCGTCAAAGTTATCTTACAACATCTATTAGGGGGTTTTGCCGAGGTCCCGGGAGAAAATTATTTCCCCTATACAGGTGTATACAAATTAATCATAGTTTATTTTTAAAGACTTAGAGCTGGTTCATTTCGTGAATATAAGTGTTTTTTTTGTGTGTTGTGAGTATGGGTGTGTGTGTGTGTGTGTGTG